AAAATTGGGATTCCTGCCCCATCCCCAGGGGCTAGGGCGGGGCCCCAAAGGGAACATTTACAAGTATTGACAAGTATTGTATTTCACTTAGTTTACATGCTGATTTCCACATCACATCTAAACAATAAAATAAAGCTACCAGTACCTATGATATAACTCAGGTGACCGCTAAGGCCCTTGGGCCTCTTGTTTAACATTCTATGTACTTAAAACAAAAATGCTTTGCAAATATTAATGACCAGGGTTCTCAGTAGGTTTTGGCATAGGTGGTTGAAACGTTAAAATAGCTGGTTGGGGGCCGAGACGGGGAGAGTTTGATGTGCAGGTTTGCCCCCCCCCCCCCCCCTCTCGTAAGAGGGGTATGGAGCCGGTCTCCCCCAGAAAATTGTGAGCACTTTTAAGTGTTGTAATTAACTTTTTCATACCAGAAATTTGTGGGAAGTTTTTCATAAAAGGTTTTTTGAAACAATTGAAAAATATTCCTCCATGGCTTTATCTGTTAATGTTTCAAATTCAATGAGACTTGAAAACAAATCCATGCATTACAACTATTAGTTTTGGATCTGTTTGCCAGTTTCCAGTATTTTTAATATTCATGTTTCGAAATAAAACAAAAACAAATGCGAGATTCAACTTTATTTTACCATTTCCTCTTGGAAATTTATGAAATATATTTGTTAGGAAAGTGTTAAAAATCTAATCAAATTATATTTTGAAATTTTGTTTTTAATTAAAAATGAATAAAAACTACAATTTACAAAATCAAGTATGTGAAGATAATCCAATGAGTATATCAATTTAAAAATTACCTCTTCAGATCCTCAAATGAGCTCTTCAGATCCTCAAATGAATAGACTTAAGCAGGGTTGAGGAAGCTGCCTGCCAGCCTGAACAACATGCATGTTGTTAAACTATCGGGGAAACTGTCAATAATAACACATATTGAAAATTCAATACAAAAATTGCAGTGGTCCAGATGTCAGAGGTGTTTCAGAAACTTTTTTTAATGCCATTAAATTAAAAACAGATACAAATTTAAGTATGAAGTCTTTTCATGGGCACGAGCCAGCTTGGGGCTTGTCACTGAAAGTATCTGTATAGATATCTGACAGATATAAAATGCATTAGTACAATGTTTAAATGTTGAGTGGGTGTAAATATATATATCCCAATTTCACTAAACTGGTCAAAAATGTTGTCTAGAGAACTGCAAAAATGGAAAACGAATTCAAAACCTTTTTCCAATATAGTTTATTTAATATCTTTTGTTTTGTACATCATGAGTCATTTTTGCTATGTATATCTCACATTTTTTAAAGTATGACGTAGAAATTGTCACAAAGTACACCACAAGTTACCCCCCTTTATGTACACAATGTGAACACCTAATCATTATCGCCAGGAACATTGCCGTTATCTAAGGTTTTCTTTTGAATATTTTTGAAGTTCACAATTAATCATTTCGAAAGTTGCAATTTCGTGAAAACTTACGAGACTGATAGGGTTACCTCGCGACTGATGACTTCACTTACAAATCGCAACGTGATTCAGAAGTTACTGACAGAAAAACTTGCTAACAGTATAGATAGGATTTAAAGCAAATATGCACATCTGCCAATTGCAACTCCCAAATCACTTGTATTTCTGTTCTGGGCGCCAAAGAAATCGTTTATTTTTCATTTTGTCTTTGAGGGCTCCATTTCTCATCGATCTCGTTCTGTATCAATTAGACGTTAGTCGGTAGTGTTGCCTTTGTATAATTCGGACGCATTTGTATAATTCAAACGCATTGGTGATCTTGCTGTTTTATGTAAACGATCGAGAATGAAAGTAGAAACGTGAAATAGACCGGGAAGTTCTGATTGATTCTGTCCAACTGGTAAAGTCAATATTGTTGTTTGCCGATATTGATCAAATCATTACGATATGGAAATGTCAATTCTGTAATACTTGAGATAAAATGTATGTTTGCAATGTAAATATTAATG